GATGTGCTGAAGATATTAATATCATAAATCATTCTCAATCGGATGATGATGGTCAGTCCGGGAAAGTGTAATAAGTATGAACAGGGAATTCCTTGCTCATTTTTTGCAATGAATACTCCTTCTGCATACTTAATTATATACTTAATTTCTCTATTCAATTTCTCTCTCTGTTTGAGGTGGAATTTTACACCTGGTTTTCTAGCTCCAGATTACATCTCTCGGCATCCTCTATAATCTCATGCCTGCTATTCTTCTTTCGACCATTTCACTAATAATTTTGTTTAATTATATAACAATTAAAGACCGAGATTTTAAGCACCGCCCTTAAAATTAGCCCTGTCAATCAAGTACATGAAGGTCCATCTTTGGATGCTGGAACTTGAATGACATTTACTTACTGGTCCCTGTGTATACCTTGTACACCTTGTTTGGGACTCGTGGGGGCCTTCAAATTAACTGTTGATTCGTTGATGTTTACCGAACATGGTATAGTGAAAATTTGCTATGAACATTTTTTTTGATAATATAAGAATTAAATACACCTTTAGTATTTGAAAGGATTATAATATAATAATGTAAATTACTAAACAGTGCTGGCATAAACTTTTCTCTTTCGAATCATCTATTGGCAAAAACGTGTTGTAAATAACCAGTATCCTATATTTAACTCAACTCAACCGCACGCCCTTAAAGCTTTAGGAGGCATTTGGCCAATTTGTATCAAATCGCTTAATTGAAGGCTTGCGTTTGCATGTTTACACAAATCTAACATAATAACACTGTATTTTATCTTTTTCACACTCGCATTTCTCTATCTTCTTCGAAGCAATGTTAAAATAAACTAAACTGCGAGCATAGAAATGAATGTACCGATTGCAATATCATTTAACAGTTAACGTTACTAGTGCCTTCTCGTGTTCTTCCGAATCTTTGCCATACAAGTTTATAAATATAACTATTAGGTATATTAAATACGCTATCGAACTATTACTCTAATAATTACAATTCTGTTAGAACTTCTCATTTCATTTTAGCAGATCGTACTTTGACTCGAAATTTAGACGTTAATAAATTATAATGGATTTTAAACCAAAATATCAGAAGCGTTCAGTTAATGTAAGTGGCGTAACAGCGTGATTTTGTGGTAAAAAGCGGTAGAATTACGCCAAAAGCGGAAGGGAAGGCAGGTCTTGCCAGGAGCTAAAAAATAGAGAAACCTCTGATGAGTTTGAGGGAAACCGCATTGTTGACATAAGATAGGTCTTTGAAATGTTTAATGATGCAGCCAAAAGCCATTTTGACAAGTCCAAGCACTGCAATTTTCCAGTGTGGGAATACTTGGGATAGAGGAAATGAGGGTTTGGATGGCATGAGATTACTGTGTACAGTGCGTTATTTTCAGACAAATTACTGTAAATTATACACTAAAATTCCTACCTAAAACAAACCAGGCCCTTACCCTGTCAGTATCAACTGGAACTTTCAATTAGCCCTGCAGAACACCTCCATGGGGAATCGACGCAGTCGGGAAATGGTTGCTGTCTTGGACATTCCTCCTCCTTAACGCAGCTCCATGCAAATGACCAGCAACCAGGTCAACGCAGCCACTTTCGACCTGAATAAAAAAATGGGTAAGAAGAGACAACTGATTAAGGCCATCAACCAGGACAAAGGTCAAGAACATCCAGACTGAGGTACTGGACATTGCCATAGATGGACGCTTCAACTCGATAACCTTCGGTAGCAGCAAAAAGCCAGGCTACAATGCATCACATGCTTACGCCATTGCATGCAAGATCAACGCCAACAAACAGTATATACTTGGTGCAATAAGGCAGAATACACTTTGCTGAACCGGAACCTGGCTTTGAGGTAATGATTATGATGTTCCTTGTCCGGGGGTTATGAAGACTGCACGGCTTTATGAACTGTTCTCAACTCTTTCAGAGAACGAAATGGCTAAATCTATAGACGATGATCTGGCACCCGACAGGTTCAAGGTGAACCACGCCACAACAGACGATGATGCCCCGTCAACCCTGGGATTCAGAAATGCCATGCGCATTTTTCATCCGACTGGCAAGTTACTCGACCGGTGGACCTTACCTATGTCTGCAGAGCCCAGTTCCGAAAGTGTCACAGTGCCCACTTCAGTCCCGAGATGTTTTACTGCAAAACAAAAATGAGGTTGGACCACAGGAGAAAATTTTTTGCACAAGATGTAACGGTTCGGTGCAGCTAAGTTTACAAGAAACTCATACATACTTACACTGGAGACATCAACTTAATCTGTGGTAAACTTCCTCATATTATAGAACGTACTATCCCCTGCTACTCCAGAGACTGTTCCTAATGTAGGAATTCAGTTGTATGTGAGGGTGGATACAGACATAACTGGTGGATTTAGTCTTATTTCCTCACCCAAACAAACTGACATTCCTATCCCTGCACCTGAATGAAGATGAGAAACACTCGACCTAGATATTCATCTGATATATCTGTATACCGAATTTTATTTCAGTATGTACAACGGTTGCGAAGAAAATGAACGGAAACTGCAAATAATTGAAATTTTTCTAAGTCTAAGGAGCATAACTCTGTCAAAAATGATGCGGCTATACCAAAAACAGAATTTGACCTAGATATTCATCTGATATATCTTGTATACCAAATTTCACTTCAGTATGTTAAACGGTTGCAAAGAAAATGAACGGAAACTAAGTGGACCGACAGACAGCAGCAAAGCAATATGCCCTCCCTTCTTCGAGGCGGGGCTTAAAAATGCATTGCCCAGTACACTTATCGCAGAGAATACAGGAGAGCGGCAGTTTTTGTGCAGAGGCAACGAGTGTTTTATTGTACGAGTTGTTTGAATTAATAGTTAAGTTGCACCTAAACCGAGTCGTCTTACCACTACCTACGCGTTAACCAAAACTAGGTCATTTAGTACAATTGTATACAAGGTTTTCCTATGTGATTTAAGGTTGTGTTTTCCTCAGTGTACAAAATTCTATAAATTTCAATTTATTTAATGCCTGAATTTTGTATAAGAGATTGATTTGTTTACAATAATTTCCCCTTAATTAAACATTCCAGTACAGTCATCACCAGGTCCAGCACGATACCCAGATAAAGGTATCAAGCTACATACTTTTATCAGGGTATTGTGCTGGACCTGATCACCAGATATTGCTATATATATATCTACGTTGCTAGAATTACCTACGTGGCTTTTTTTTACTTACTTCAGGTAACATACTGTAATGTTTTAGAATTTACTAGAGTTGTTACACAGTCTGTTTATAATTGATTTGACACGTAAGCAAAGTTAGCTCGTTGAATCTCCCAGAGTTCAGTAACCTACTGACATTAATCTGAAATTGAGTCACCTACATTTCCTATTTCCAAGGCTCATAAAATATAAAATGAATTTGGTACAAAGACACTTATTTGCTTACTGATATCCTATGTAGTCAGGCTGTATATATTTGCATATTAGATAAACAATATAAAATTTATTCCGGTGTTTTTTTCAGATATATTACACATACATTCTAAACCAATTCTCATTTTTGTTCTGTTGTGGTTTATTTAAGAAAAAAGGTAAAGAAAATCTAGAATTTACAAATATTAAAGACATCAAAAAATCAAAGCAAGCACAGACAACAAGCACATGAGTCACGATCACAAAACACAATCACATTAGCAGAGATGGCTGAAATATTGTTTTAAAATATTAATTTTATCAATCAGAAAGGTTGTAGAGGCGTCCAAGCTTCTTCAGCAGTTGAGAGGTACAATGTACTAACATTCTCAAGTTTACAACAATCCTCAAGTGTCCTCCTTCCTCCTCAACAGTCACTCATCTTCTCGAAGGCTGGTATGTTTTGAAAAAAAAATTCTACTGTAATATATATAATTTATAATACAAGAGCTTAGAAATGCAAAGATTACATCAATACATTTAAAGACCAGTTTACCTATCACAAATACCAAGATCATGTACAAAGAATTTAATGTTAAATTATCTTCTTTCATCTGCTATGATCATTATGCACTAGACGACTGACATTACCGGTAAAATAAAATGAGTAGGAAATTTTTACTCACCTACCTTCCTATAAATCTTTCATGTCATGGCAATATAATCATTGGACAAAATTTACAAAAACTGCATCCAAGTTTCTTCTTCTTAAAAAACTCAATGACTTGCATAGCTTCTTTGAAACAGAAAACATATATTCTAAAAACCCCATCATACATGAATTCATCACAAACTGGTCCATATTGAATCATTCTCTGGAAACAGAAGGCATTAATTTCATCATATACACAATATTTTTTTTTTAAAACAAAACCAACAGACTTCATTTTGGGGCCCTCCATTTGTTTGAAAAGTTTGAAATCTCATTGGATAAAAAAGTCACATGACTCCAGACCTCACAATTTAATGTATAAGACCCCACAACTTAATTCTATTATTGTTATTGTCTGCCATTTTAATTTTGAAAACGCGTGGTGTATTGGATAGAGCGTCTGCTCTAGAGTTGCGAAATAAATAGATGCTTACGTCGCGGGTTCAATTCCAAGTGTGGGGTTTGGAGACCGGTCCTTCTGCTGAGACCGTCTTAACCGAGTTCCCGTATCGGAGTAGGCGCTGGCACGTAATAGCACCCTCACTGCTCAATGGCTCTGAGTGCTGAGCATAGAACAAATTTTGCATCTCTCCTCCGGCAAATGGTGGCGTCTCCATACAAGTGAAAAATTCTCGAGAGGGACATATACAAGAGACACTCAATCATCTCCCCACTGTAATCAAGCGTCTACTGGTATTTCTTAAAATGGGACACTTTCATGTTAACGTAAGTCTTAGCAACATGTAAGTAAATGATCATAAAATGAGAAGACTTGCACAATCATAAAATAATGCCAAGAGCAAAACAGTCTATATGAGATAGTTTACTAAGTCCTTACAAGTTCAATGTTAAGGTATTCAATCCCTAATAACATCACATTCAATTGAATACATAATAGATGTGTAGGTACCAAATTGTCTGTATATTTAGACGTGAGTCCCGGTCATAACTATTACCATTGATGGTTCTGTGCGGGTTGACCTTGTTGTTTCTCTAGTCGATGTTCTTACCAAAACACAATCTCCGATCTTATACTATCATATTGATCTTGCTTGTCATATAAATTCCGTTTATGCCTGTCAGTATTTCTCCTGATGTTACTTCTTGCCATCTTAAAAGCATAACAAAGCCTTTTGTTAGACTTCTAAGCATATTTTTCTCTACTTCTTACCTTTTGTGGTGAATCTTCCAAGCATCCATTGCTAGTCTGGGGTTCCACCCAAACATGAGAAAAATGAGGGGAAATTCCGTTGCTTCATGTTATGCTGCAATGTCAGCATGGACTAATGGTGAAACGAAATATGAAAGTTTACCAATCATGATTTTTTCTACTGTCTAAGTCCTTAACATTTGCAGTAGCTTTTGATTAAATCTTTGACTTGCGTATTCCCAATAGGATGGGATCTTTAAATTTGAATCCATAGCTATTAATGCTGGGATATATAATGATTCTTGCATGAAAGGAAGCTCAACACCCGCTTCTATATATCTTAAATAGGGCAAACAACATGTATCCCAATTTGCACCATAAAAAGTTGATTCAAATTCTGCAATCTCATGCAAATTTGGTATATCCTCTAGAAAATTGTAAAATACCTCTGAAATAGTTGTCAGCATAGAACCACTATTTATAGTTTTGAGAACTTCATATCTACAAATTTGGCTCTTTGTCCGTTCGTCCATTTTGATTTTTTAAAATACCTTCTTTTTTTTATCGGACACATAGCAAAACATGGACTTGTCATCTTAAAGGCGGATTACCATTATGCCAGTCGCAGTACCTAGTTCTTATCATATTGAAAAGATTTAGATGCATCTTAAACAGTATCATCTGATTATAAATTATAATATTTTTTACCTATCGCTTTTTTTTTGCCTGAATCTGTCAAGGGTTATTTGGTAAGTAAGTTGATGCACAGTTTATTACTTTCAATTAATTTTATTCACCTTACATTCTCTTTGTGGATGCAGTTCAAATTTTATTGCATTAACATGTTGTTTGCTTTGAATTTAACAGTCTGAGTGAACAGGGCATACCTATTTTACATCTAATAAATTTCGAAATTGTATTTGCAGCCGGTATCATTGATCCTAGTAAATCACAGTGTACAAAATCAAAGAAAGTGACTTGTTTAGGTTTTGATACACTCCCTTAATGCATTGTATATAACTTAAAAATGTTCTTTTGAATGATGCAACGAAAAAGAATGGAATTTACATGCTAAATATTTAGCTTCTTACGATTTTTTGACCAGCAAGGAAACCCATAAGAATAAAATTTTTATTGCCTTAGGTTGAATTGTCTGCCCGGATGTATAGAGCTGGAGAAAGCGACACGTCCTGAAGAAAATGAAGTAAAAACTCATTTCTTTGTTTAATCATAGTAAGTGAATGTATGGCAATACTTTTATTTCTTATGTTACTTGCATACTGATCTTGATGCATCTTCATGTAAAATTCATATGAAATTTATGTCAAAATCAGATGAAGTTATTACATAAATTTCACATGTCTTGTTTTTCGTGTCTTTAAAATGCAAAGAATTCACATAAAATTTATGTGTGCCACTTTTGCCTGTGTATCACAGCCACATAGCATCGTTTTTGAAATGGGGGGGGGGGGGGGGGGCGGCCAGAGAATTTGACATATCTGGAAAAAGTTGACATGCCAAATAAAAGGAAATTTTCCAAACTTGAAAATCCTATTTCTTGGAGGGGGGTGGGGTGTAGAGGCCAACATTTTTCCAATCCCAATCTCTTTCAGTAACCTTTTTTTTAACATTAATTACATCTTCCCCTTTTATGAACTTTCTGTAGTATCAAGCGGGAAGGCCAACCAGCCTTTTAATGAACATTTCCAATAGAAAAAGCAAAAGAACAAAAGTACCAAAACGGACACAATTTACACCACAGTGCCGGAAAAATGTAACATCTGTTTAAGATCTGGTGATAGGGGATTATGGGTAGGGTGTGACCAGGTCCGCTATGGGTACTGGGTGCATGACACTTGTTTAGGGTTGAAGTTAACGTCAAAGGCTATATTAAACAAAGTTCCAATATTCCTTTCATAGAAAAAAATAATAAAACTTAAATATAACGCACAAAGTCTTAAGGGTGTTGTTTGTTCTTTTCCACGTTATGAAATTTGGTAGGTTGAA